TAAAACTCTTGCTTCTAAAAGAATAATCTCCTTTGTCGTCAACTCAAAACGAGATGAAAGAAAGGAGCGGTGTTATTCAAATGGTTGCAGGCCTTTCTTCCGTTCTTTCTTCTCTCCTCCATTATTTGTCTCCTCCTAATCTGAATTCAGCAAAGCCGTCGTGTTTTCGCAGCACCACCACCGCCGACTGAAGATATTATTTGCAATTCGATTGGAGAGCGAAACAAAAACTGGGCGGAAACAAGATTGAGGTATTGAGTGGGCTCGCAGTTCATTTGGAGGTGGCCGGGATTTAACGATACGCCCGACGGAAACGCAATCGAATTTTTTAAATTCCGAACTGAACAACTGGAGAGACTCGGAGGAATTTGGCCTGTCAAGCCTCGACATAATGACAAATGAAATCGATAGTTGCGCGGCCGGTGGTGGAAAAAAATCCTAATTTACCTTAAAAGGGCCCATCGGATTTCTCCTCTGCACGTGTGAACAAAGAAAGATTTTCTGGTCAGGTATAACTTACTGTTCAGTTCCAGGCAACTTTGTGTACTTCAAAAAAGAACATTAATTAAATTTTTATGGATAGCCCCAAGTTATCAATTACATGTTCACATTTACAATTTTAAATATAATTATAAATTTCAATATTTGTAAAAAAAGTTATTTCGGTTCTTCATTCAATTGGATTCTGAACAAGCTGTATTATTTACAAGATTTTTTTCACCCCCGATCTCTTTGAAGCACCTTTTTAAATTGAACCTCTATGTTTTCTAGACAACTTAGAATTTACTTGAAGTTGAGTAGAAACATTCATTATTTTTCCTGATTGTTAAATTTTTGGTTTTTCTTGGAAACGTTTTATCAATTTCACTTAAAAAATCTGTGTCTAATAGTTTTTCTTTTGAAACTTCATTGAATGATATCTCTTTAGAACGCCAACTCAATGCCTCTGCATTTAAAATAAAGTTTGGTTCGTTGTGCAAAATTGTTCATATATTTGATGTTAACATGACGTAAAATTCTTTGCCATCGGATCAACAAAAAGTAAAATCACTCGGCTATAAAAAGAAAACCACCAAATTGCTCAAAACTACATTCCCTCTTGTCGAGCGGCCGTGCTCTGATTAGAACTCGTTCAAATGCTCAATAATTCATCGACACGTGGGGAAAGTGCAGCGCTCCTAATTTGCGTCAGGCACGCCCGGTTCACCCCAGAGTAGCTGAAGGTGCTTTGCAGAAACTTAGCCTGATAAATAATTGATCGCACTCGGCGTCTACTCAATTCAATTATGCCTGACTTGGATCATACTCGCGGGAAAATGACACACTCTGCCCGGGAAAGTAATTTTCTGTCTCTAGGGTGATTACTCGAACATGGATGTTAAAAAATTTTACGTTTTCGTTTAATTTTTAGAAGATATTTAATTATACACACAAAACCCAATCTTTTCTGCTATAAATTAATTTGTTATTTATGTACATAAATTGAAAGTTAATTCTAAGTGGATTTTATAAAAATTGAAACCTTGTTTAATGAAAAACAAAATACCGCCTTGAAAGATCTCCCTGGTACTTTTGGAATCCCAGGGTTTGTCGTTCTTTATAATTTCTTTTAACGATGTTAAATTTAAATTAAGCCCAAATAAAATTTAAATTTTCTTTCCTCTTCAATTTAACATTTCGAAAGCAGAAAAGATTGTTCGTTTCTCGTGCTTGCTTTGTTCTCCTCTTTGCCTGTATCTAACAGGACGTCCATGCATAACAAGAGCGGCGGAAAGATGCCCTCGCGGATGGGCTAGGGTGGTTCCAGGACGGTGCACTCTCTGGTTCGGTGACACTTTGCAAGCGAAAAATGAGCCAAAGGACAGAGCAAGTTGCTCAAAAGGGCAGCCGGCGAGCACTTGGTGATAAATGGCGCTCGGGATAATATGTTCGGCTCGGCGACCAAGATTATATCTTCTGGCCACAATATTTCGGGTCGAGCTGATCATGACATATTACTCCAACCAGTGGGCGGCGGTACTGGAGCAGGCCTACGCTTTGCGCTCGTTTGATTTGTGTTCGGTCGCGCAGAAATTAAACGAAAAGTCGGCCATAAATAGTATAGAAGCAGTTAATCTCAGTTTGCGTTAATAAATATTTAGATATATGGAAATAAACATGCAAAACGTAATTATTATTGCGCTATGTTTTGATTATCAATCTAGAAACAAATATTTATTATGTACTGTAATGTTGTTTTAGTTTCATTTCTCTTTTTATAAAACAACTGAAATATTTAAAAAATATTTATAAATCGAGCTTACTTTTAGACTTGTTAAAAGCTGCGGGAAATTCATTAAGAAAATAACTGCATTTATTTTTAAGGTTTTTTTGTTCATTAAATTTTTTGAGCGAGGTTTTTGCCTCATATTTTAATTTTTATCAAGGTCAGCTCAAGTGTTAATTCTCAGGCGTAGTTGGAGGTTGATATTTAAAATAATACGGCTTTCTCCCTTTTTAGTTACCATTTACAATTCAATCTTTCTTACAAAATTGAAGTTATAATAAGAGAAAAATATCCACACCATTTTGCTTTTGCACAAACATTATTCCTGCGTTTCAACAAACTTTTTAATAACTTTTGTATATCAATCAATACAAAGATAACAAATAGGCTTTAATTTTAATTGTTAAATGAACTAAATGCATATAAGTTCATAAAGGTGGTTAAAGATTTTATAAGAGATAAAGCAAAAGCTCCCGAGTGCGTTTTCCGCCCACTTCATGCGCTAAAATTTGCTCCTTAGTAAAATCAACTTGAAATGGACAAAGAGGCCGTTAATATGTGGTTGCCAATTAAATATTTAATGCCTGACGTTGCGGGATTAAGAGTATAGACGCTGCGCAGCCGCAGAAAGGAACCGAGAGATTTGTTGGCGAGCCATTTGCGGCCGAGACTTGCTCTTGTTGGAGTCAAGTGTTGGCTCAGGTTCGTGTAGGCAGAATCGGTTAGTTCATTAATTAATTAGCCCAAGGGTTGGATTCGCCACCCGAGGTGAGGAAGCTAATGCTAATAAAAAGAACGGCGACAGTTAGTTGGGATGGGAGGAGAGGAAACAGCGGTGCAGTCCGAGTCGGCCGGGCTTGTTTCTTTTTACGCATGCACTAGGCCCAAATGGGAAGGTCAGTTGGGCTTTGCTTTTTATTGCAGTTATTCCGGGCAAAATGCTGCTCTTACATCGTTAGCAAAAGTTGGCTTATAACATGGCAGGGGTTGCCAGACGATTTCGTTGAGGGAAGAAAACAAGAAAGCACCCGCATTTTTTCCACTGACCTAAAATGTTTCCATTGAACTTTCAACTTAGGCTTCAGTTTGAAGTAATAATTTATAGGAAAAGTGTTGTGAGTTGAAATTAACAACAAAAACTGTAAACTGTTGAATGTAATTTTTTTTTTAAAATCTAGAAAAACAGCTTTAAAAATGTATGAAGCAGAAGCCTCAACACATGATTTTACTTAATGCAAGCTGAGTTTTTTTGCTTCGCCCTTTTTTTCCCGCCCAAACGTCTAAAATTCAAAAATTTAGAAAACGGAGAAAACGACCAAATCATAGCTCAAAGCACTTTAAAATCTAGAAAAAAAGCTTTAAAATTGTATGAAGCAGCAGCCTCAACACATGATTTTACTTGATGCAAGCCGAGTTATTTTGCTTAGCTCTTTTTTTTTCGCCCATTCGTCTAATATTCAAAAATTGAGATAACGGAGAAAATGACCAAATCATTGCTCGAAGCACTTTAAGATAATTATTTATTTTTCTAATATGTATTGGCAGCGTGGAATTCACGCATCTTCCATTATCATATCACACATTTAATTGTTCCTAAAATTTAACGTTAGCAAAAAGAGTTTTTAGAAAAAATTAAAAAAAAAAAAAAAAAATCGCTGGGAGGGAAAAATTGAACTGTCGCAAATATTGTTCTAAATCTGTCAACATAAAATAGTCGCCGGAGTGAACTTTTAGTTGAATTCACTTTTTGTTTTATCGAAAAAAGGCTGAATTTAAAATGAAACACCATGAATCAACCCGCGATTGTCAAATTCTTGTAGCAGAGATTTTTGGGTCTTTGTTAGTAGAGTAATTTGTATAGTTAAAAAATCAATTGCTATGCTGTGCCATGCTTAACAAAAAAAATGCTGAAGACAGGTCACCCCCCCCTTTCACCTCCTTGAGAAAGTATTTTATTAAATTAATTAAAAATATCTTTTTCATTATCGTTGCCAAAGTTTTTATGGAAATAGTTTAAAATGCAATTTTTTAAACTCATTTAAAAAACACGCATTTATTCTGCGATTTTTTTGATTGATCGCTCTATGCAGTTGCCGAAAACCATTCAAACGCACATAAAAGGTGGAGGAAATTACAGCGCACAATAATTTGGTCAAACGGACGACGGTTTGTTTGGTGTTACCAAACAAGGCGTTTATTTCTCGTGTCCGCCTGAATTATTCAGCAAACACCGAGCGTTGACAAAATTTACACGGCAGATTTAACTTGTACCTGCTGGCAGAGGTGAAATTATTAGAGTAGAAAGTTCAAAGGTTTCCGATTCATGCCCTTTTATACAATGGAATTGGGTGGTTTAGTCGCCCCTAAAGCAAAACAACCTGTCTCTCTTGACAGCTGGCGCTGAAAAAAACGCGGTTTTCCTCTGGAATTGGAAAAAGTTGACTTTTTCTCTTGTCAGATGTCAAAAAACAACAGGCGGCAAAGTTAACTGCGCCTGTGGTGTTGATTTAAAAGTAACTTAAAATAAATTTCTGTACGGTTTCAATCGCTCAAGCTTGATTTTATGTTGGCTTATAGCAAAATTAAGTATCCTCAAAAATAAAAAAGGCTATACTTTTGACTTTTGATTATGCAGTTATTCTTTGATTTTTTTTATTTAAAAAAAAAAAAAAAAAAAAAAAAATTAATTAAATTTTGAATAAATATTTATGAATTCCTTTTGATTTTGTTGCAGTCCAACGTGAGGGTTCATTCCGCCGAGGCAGCAGTAGCAGTCAGACGAGCGAGCCGCCGCCCTCGCCCAAAGAACCCTCCGATGCCCCTCGGGTGCCCCGGCGCAGCTCCAAGTCGCCAGCCAAAGTCCAAACCGAGCAGCTCGCGGCCAGCAGTTCTGGCTCGCCGTCGCCCCCAGTGTCCCCTGCCGCCTCCAGAAGTCCCCCGGCAAGTCCTCTGACCAGCTCAGCGGCAATTGTCACAGCCTCTGATAAGGCTATTCTTCAGGTACACCAACAATAAACCACAAATGAGAAACTTTCAGTCTTTGACACAATAATTACTGTCATATTGAAAGCTCCCTTTTTACTTGATGCGAAGCTTATATTTCTTAAATAGTTAATTTTTACTCGGCAGATCCGTGATTGGCTCACCCTGGAGGAAGCAATGTTGCGGCAACAGATCGCATCAGTCGGCGACGTGACTGACATCCTGCAGTTGCTAGACAAGCAGAAGGTGAGTTAAATTGGCAATTCTCTTCCTTTTTTCTAGGAAATTTGGAATTAAGTGTCAGACGTTTTGTCAAGAACCTACAAGGCCCTCTTTAATTGAAAAAAGTTATAAAACTGGAAAAAAAGGAAAAGTAAATTGGATCTAGTTTCCAGTGATCAGTTTTGTTTCCGCTTTTGTTTGGGTCGTAAAAAAATCGGTACGTGTCATGATTTGACAAGGTTGTTTTCTAGTCACCAAATTGCCTCAATTGCCGCCAGCAGTTTGAGTGGACAGAGAGAAAGAAATAAACACAATTTGCTGGTGGCTCATTGAGCGGCGGAAGCCAAGCTTTGGCAGTTAGCGGCGGTTCAGGCGCGAACACCTATCCGTCTCCTACAGCTGGCGGCGGCAGCTTTTTTTTTTTTTTTTTTGGCTCACGCCCAAAGTGATGTGCGTTACAACTGCCGCACGTTCCGCACATATATTCTTGTTTGCAAGGTGCGCGCGGAACGTTAAGTGGATTGCAATGCAAGCTGAAGTTTAATTTAGCGAATTCCCGTTTTACAGGGAATCAGCAATCAAGGAGTGGAAAATCTTCCAAACCCAAAAATCTTCCAAACCCAAGAATCTTTCTTTCCTTTAATTATTTAAATGAATAATGAAATTTAAAAAAAGCTCAAACCAATCATTTTGCACTTGAACTTTGAACTTGTCTGATTGTGAATGATAAATATCCTAACCACGTTATAAATAATTTAAACCTTTTTCTTTAATTTTTAAACTTCAATTTAAAATTCTACAAATATAACTTTTTTTTAAATATCAAATTTTCCGAAGAAAAATTGAGTTTTTATCTCAGTTTCTCTCTTTACTGATTCTGTCACTTGCAAATTCACGTGTTTTCCTCCCCTGCGATTGAAAGAGACGAACAGATGGAGAAAGCATCCTTTAGTAGCAAAGAAACTGCAAAAATGGTGCGAAGCCTCGCGTGCAATTTCCGGCAGCCGAGGTTCAGCTCAAGAGCGACTAATCCCACTCTCGACCCCTCCCTGTGCGGTCGGCAGGGCGTTTAATATAAAACCCCGTTGGCCACTTGTTGTTTACTTTGCAGAAACCTGCCAAGTGATCCGAAAAGAAACTTTACTTCGATGGTCACAACAACGATCTTGGTTGGAGCGAATTTCCGGCGCACACCTAATGCCCCTTTGAACTGCAATTTGCGTTCGACTCCCCTGCCCCGAAAGGGTTCAGCCGGCTTACGCTCTGCGTCGCCACCACCGACCAAACGCACCCCCTCTAACAGCCAAACGCCAAAACAGCCCTTTCACTTTGCATGAATTTCCTCGGCAGAAAATTTAATTTTTTTGTTTTGCCACTGAACTGCCGTGACGGAAAGTTTGCACTTTGTCGAATCGATCCAAGTATGCGTGTCACAAATGCCGTCCACTGCTTTGATGCTTCCGTCCGATTGTTTTTCTTGGGTTCGCGCTTATCTTTCCATTCAATTTGGCGCCCTGCAAATCAAGGTAAATAGTGCCGCATGGCAAAGAATAATGACGCTGGTCTAGCCAAAGATGGTAACAAATTGCATTAAAACGATTGAATACTAAAAAATCATTCTTACTTTTTCTGTTTACGATTGAGTAATGAATGAAGTAAATTATGAATTTAGATAATAATTTATTATTATTAATTTTATTCTTCTTCTTAAATAAGACATACTTAAAACGGGAAATTTTAGAAATTCCAAATTACGATAGAGACGCAAGCCTTGATTTTTTTAAAGAAATTTTAATTGTTATGATTTAACTAATTTAATTAATATCTAATAGCGACGCACAAATATTTCAAAGAATTTCAAATTTTGCAGTATTTTTTATTAATTCACTGGCATAAAGAGAAACTCCTGTGTAAATCACAACGTGGAAATCGTATTACATAAAACAGTGGTACAAAAAATATGACGGATTATTATGGCAAAATATGCCAATTATTCTAATCCGTGCGAACGCAACCCTTTACATTATACGCTGACAAACTCTGGTTGATGCCGATTTTGCGCCTCGCCGGCTATGCAACCCGCTTCACATGAGTGACGAGCGCATTGCATAATTAATAATTTTTTGGCATTCTATATTTTAATTGTGTTCAGAATTTTGCTCTACATTTGACCTAGTTTGTGTCTTTTGATTTTTGGGCTCAACTTTATCCAAACTCTAACGATTTGGTAGTGCGTAATAATTGCCCTCAAGTATCGATTCCGTCGGATTCCAATTTCCGCCCTTTCCTGTCCAAGCGGGTGCGTCAAGTGCTCCCTGTTGCGAACGGACACATCCCGGGGCGCGCACTTTAATGGTAGTGTTTTCTTTCAGCTAAAGTACTACAAACAGGTCTCGTTGTTGTTTAGTTTTTCCACCTTTTTTCACGTCACGTAATTTTAAAACAAAATCACAGAAAAATATTATAATTTAATTTAGGGGGGGGGGGGTTGAAACAATATTAAATTAAATATCAAGTTGCAATCCTGATATATCAATTTGCAACAATTAAAATTATAAAACTTAATAAGCTATAATTTTACATAATTTAATTCAATAAGTTTACTTCAAGATACAAATTCTCAATTCGGTCACAGTGAATTTATTACACGGAAAAGCACAAATCCTCGCGGCAGAAGGAAAAATGGTTTTATGGCGATACTTTCGTCTCCTATTTTTTTTACACGCTATAGTGAATAAAACCAGTACATCATTCACCCTGCGTCATGTCTGTGTCGGTTTTTGCCCAATATTAAATAACCGACGGCAGAAGGGAAAGCGGGTGAAAGCAACGCCTTTTTGCGTACCAAACACTGTTGTACAGGCGACGAGGCAATAAATTCTTCACCGGGGGAATTTGTCACAAGTCTAATTTTAACTCTGGCCCGACGCATGATATAATGCCAGTTTTATAACGCCAGCTTGAGAGAGAGAAAGAGGCGCGAAGCCGCATACAAAAACCCTTATAATAAAACAAGCAGCAGCCACAGACAACTTCTTAGCAACTGCTTGTCTTCTTCTTGTCATTGCGGCCAAAATTTTACTCTGCATACAAACATAGAATATAAAATAAATATAAACATATTCACAGTTCTAATAAAATTAAGAATAACCGAATTTTTAATTTTAGGCCAAAAAATATAAAAGAATAAATAAATTTGGAAAATTTTTCCATTAAATTAAACCGTCCATACTTTAAATAAAAAATGAAACTTTGGATCTCTATTAATTAGCTAATTTGTCAACTGTATGGCTGAGTAATTCTGCCATAATCTAAATTCCGCTAAAGCAAACTGCCATCGCGAGTCCTGTTTGATGAGGACAAAAAAGTTTTGCGCGGACCGTATACACCGTTGAAATAATACCAAGCTAGTTGATCTCTATATTCACAGTAATACAGTCTGCATTGCAAACACACAGGAAAAAGCTGTGGGCGTGCTACTTTAAAATTCCATTTTATTTGCCTAACTGGATTGCGTTCGCCAGCTTGAAGCTCGTCCGGCAGAGTAAACAGAAAATATTTTATTTATTTGCTCTGCTCCGATCCGAGCAAAAAGAAGTTGGTCGGTGGACCCTTTTGTGGCGAGGCAAAATTCTGTTGAGTCTGCAACCCTATAAGCAGCTTAGGAAAAGGCGGGGGCACTTTTAGACCAGTTCAATTGTTTCGCAGACAGACGGACCAATGGGACTTATTGTATTTTCCGATGACTTTCAATGCACAGTAATAAGTTAATTGGGATTTTGCGAAGATCAATTATCATTAATAATTATTTTATAAGGGTGCATAAAATTCAATATAATTAACAAACCCATTCTTACGTTGATACTAAATAGCTTTTTTATGGGTGATAATAAAGTATCAAAGTTCACGTACTTAATATTGCATTAGGCTAATACCAATGTAAAAAATTCTGGCTCAATTTGGGGTGCCATAATTGCGAGGCATTGATATGCAAATACGAAAACTTTTAGCATCAATTACGGCTGCGATTATTGCTGGGCAGCGTGTCCTTAACGAAAGAGGCTCTTGCGTCGCGCCAGTGGCCCTTTCACAGTTAAATTATTGCGCCTCTCTATTAAGCCGCCGACCGTTTTCTCTCCTCCCACACGGTGCCGTGGCGGAATATTATCGAGCGTTTCTCAACTTTTCGCTTGTCGATAAGATTGATGGAGCACGCAAATGGGCCTTTTATTGCCAGGCAGCTTGATGAAGATTTCCACTTGTCAGTTTTGTTGAAAGGGCACAGATTTTACTGCCACTTGCCTCTGCTTGCCGATTGGAAAATTTGACCTGCTGTTTGATGATTTTCATGACGTAATTCTTTCCGCAAAAGGCAACTTTATCCACATTTTCTTTTCGCCGCCGTTTAAATTTTCTTATAATTTATTAATATTCGTTTGAGATGAAGTGGAGCTTCATTTATTTGAAATTTCGTCTTTTCGTTCCTTTTTAATTGAAATTTGCGAATGGCTTTAGTAAAAATTACAGTTGAAAGAAAGTTTGAAATTATTGAACTAACACATTTGCTATGAAATCAGTTTACAATTTTGCTCATTCTGTTTCTCTCGCGTTAAAATTAATTATTCCCTTGCTTGTACAATTTTCATAAAACATTTTACTTCATTATTCATAAAATTAAAAAAAAAATTAAATAAAAATAAAGTAAATGTTGAGAAGCAGTAATTGAATTGTTGGACAATACGGCACCACCATTAGCAAGAACAAAAAGATTTTTATTTTGGATATCAGAGACGAACTCTAATACCGAGCGCTGATCAAGATGCGTGAACGGACGGTGAGCTTTTTTAATTGGGCTTTGTGCGTAGACGCGCGGTGGCGAACGGGTTGGGTTCCCCTCTCGCCCCTGCAACCACGTGACTGTGCATAGCAGATGGGTTAGGCAAGAAAGCGAGTGAGTTGAGTCTGCTACTTCGTATTCACTCGCTCTTTTTATAGCGGGGTGCGTTCTTGCTCGCGACTCGACGGGCGAGTGAGCAGTTTGAATGTGATAAGCCTCCCGGCATACGCACGCTCCGTCTTTTTGTACGCCGCTTTGTTTGCTGGTAAGCAAACTAACCCCTGAACTTGGCCTGCATAATATTCGCACTATTTGCCTTTTCCCAAAATTTGTGAGTAGAATCAAAAGAGACGCTCGTCTTTCTCCTTGAATCGCCAAACTCTTTGGTGCATCTATAAAGTGTCTTAAAAAATTGCCCTTTAAAGTAAATTCATACAATAATTAACCACACAAAGGGAGGGTATGTTTTTCTTTTTGGAATCTGAGAATTGTATCAACTCAGACCTTACGTATTTTTTGAATCAACTTTAATAAGATAAAATGTTTTTCTAAATCAGTAAAAATATAATTTATTTGAATCAGACTTCATTTATAATGTTTCTTTAAATCAGTTTTTAAAATTACAATTATTTCCCCCTCAATTTGAATACAAAATAATCCAGTTGATAGACAGACGATAAACTTGACGAGCTCTGGTGCTCACTTCCACCAACTTGCGTTAATTTGTCTCTCAATTGGTGATGTCATATAAAAAAAGCGGCTGCTTTTATCGCTGGGCCCACGCATCTGCATTCTTAACCATCAACGCAAATGAGTTCCTGTCTCTCACATTCTTTCTTCTTACTCTCTTTTAAAAGTACTTTTTTATCCAGTCCATTGTTTCATGCAAATTTGTGCGTTCTTGTTGCAGAATGTGTTGCGCGAGTTGGAACAAAAAAAGCCGCAGCTAGATGAACTGGTGCACACAGCAGAGCACCTCAAAGCGGACTCCAACAGGCAGCAGCTGCACGGCAAAGGTGAGTTTGCACGCTTTATTTCCCTACGTGGGCAACCACGTTTTCTTGTTTCCCAAGGTATAAAATGTAACAGTTTGCATAATACTGCGATCTCTTTATAACTTTTACTATAATTTAAAGCAAAAATCGCCTGACTTATCCTTACAACTTTCAGACTTCAGACAGAAATTTGGATTATTCAGACTGAAATCATTTAGAATTCAAATTTTATTTTTATTAAATTACAAAAACATTTGTATTGCCATGCAAAAAAAAATGCGTGTAATGTACGCGGTAAGGCTGATAGTTGATTTATTAAAAATGAACAATAATTATAAAAGCTTGGGATCTCCTATGAACAATTTTTTACATTAAGAACGAATTGATACTGCGGTTTATTTTAGCAAAGAATTTATTTAATTTCACCATCTTTGTATATAAATTAGTGCAAATATTTAAATTTAGAGTTCAATAAAAGGGAAGTTGTAAATCCTTCCCTTTTCCTGCTAGATCGTTTTGTTTTGTTTGCATCCGTTCGCTATATTAACTCCCTCGCTTGTCTCACTCAGTCGAGGCCCAGTGCGTTATTTGCGCCGTTTAATTTGCGCCAAACGAGTTGGCCATTTGTGCAGCAGTAATTCGCTGAACAAACGCGCGAAACCAAGATTCACACTCGCACCTTTTCCGTCTGGGCGCCTGCTATTTATTTTAGCGCGAATGGAAGACGCTGCTGCGGCAGACAACTGTTTTTCTTGTTCTCTCTCTCGCACTCCACAGCAAACACTATTTTCCACTTATTCTTCTCCTCGGCCGGGCTGATGAATGTTTTATTTATTTTGCCGCGAGACATCTTTCCTCTGGCTGCTCCCGGCACTGCTTGGCCGCAAAGTGGAGCAAACCAACCTATTCATTCATTCCCTTATTCACTCGGACGCCATTGTGGAGCGGCGAACGCACAGAACACTATTTGCTGCTTTCAAATGTGATGCGAGTCTGAAATTAATTGTCATTGTTACGTTTGGATGAATAATTACTTCTGAAAATTTTCACTTTTGATTAATTAGAATTTCTGCTTGGAGCAAGTACCTGTTTAGTAATTCAAAATATTTTGGAAAACTCCAGTTTAGAATATAAAATAACATATTTATCGTCAACAGAGATTGTAACTAACAGTCATAATGGAATTGGTCATTAATTCATTATACATATCCCGCTAGGTAGTCATTTTTGTTTTAAATAACGACATTTTTGCCCACGCAAAACGTTAGTAGCAGGGAAAAGTAAATTTATAATTAAAATTAAATTAATTAAAAATGATCTTTACTATTTCTTTTGTTAATTAAAATTACATTTATACCGTTCTGAAAAATTGGAAAATGTGAACGCAGCTTCCATATTTGATATTTCACTGATACTGCAAAAAATTGGTTAAAAATAGCCGCCTGTGGGTAATTTCGTTTTTAAACAAATAACGTAATTGCTATAAAGTTAAAAAAATGTAATAAGTTGGGGCTGAATCACTGCGTGCTCCACAACAGTTATAATTTACATTACACACAGCCAGCGAATATGTATATAATTCACATTTCACATGCTCACAAATGTTCCCTTTTATCGCGCCATAATTTCACTCCCATTTTAACCTGCAGCGCGCAATTCAACTTTTTGCTATCGCGCCGTTTGCCGCCCACTTTCCAGCCTCAGTTGACATTTCCCCCTTTGTACGCTTTTTATTATTTGTGAAAGAGCGCCTTTCAGACGTTAATGTGCGAAACAAATAGCAAGCAGGTGCGCCTCTGAAAGACGATCCCGCCTCGCGCTCCAAGTAATTATCAGCGGTCGCGTCAAAGAAGAAAAAAAAAAAGACGCGGGGAACAGATTGACTGCTTGTTTAAACCATCCGCACGCCGGCATTCAAATTTGAAATTTGGCTCTGCTGCGTTGTTTGACTTGGCAAGTTGGTTTTGCTGGGGATGCGCCTACTTTGGCCCGGCGCCTAACAGCTGATGGAAACATCTGCATGCAAAATTTTTGACTCAAAAAATTATATTAATTAACATAATAAGGAATAGTTAAATTTGAAAAACAAAAGTCAGAACATTTTAAAATTAAAAATTTTTCAATTTCACCTTGTTGAAGTTGATTATTTTTTATTTTGAGAAACGCCATTTAAACTGAAATTTAAATTTAATTATATGTTGAGTAACATAAATCAAATTATTTTGTTCCTTTGATGAATGCTTTTCTGTGATTACGAAATTTTACGGAATAGCAATTTCCTGCTCCACCAATTTTGGCAGCCTTTTTGTTCATAAACTGAACGTTACAATTTTGACATTTAATTTCTTAATAATTTTGTTCTCTTTCTTCTCTGGAGGCGGAAGAGTTCTTTAATCGGTTTTTATTTTCTATTCTGCTATGGCTTTTACACGGCTGTCATAAATGGAAAGTTTCTTCATGCCGAGAAATTCGCTGTTTCTAATCATTTTAATTTCTCTATTCTCTTCTAGAATGGAAAAGCCTAAAAGCATAATTTTTGCTGGGAGAAAATGATAGCTTAAATTGAAAATAGATTTCCCTCGTGGCGACGGAGTCGGTCGGGAACTGAACTTTAAGGGCAGAGGCGTGGTCGCGGCGCGGGTGTCGGCTGTGCCGCGGGTGGCAGGGGCGCGCCCTGTGCCAGTCACGCGGCCAGGCACCTTGGAGGCGGCACGCGGTTCTTTCTGCTCCCGAGTCTGTTGCTTTCACGCCCGCCAGCCTGCGGTGGCCGTTTAACTTGGTGAGTAATCGCACCACTCGGCGCAATTAATGCTCGGTGCTCAACTCGAATTTATCTGCGGTTGTTTTATTTCGGAAAGCCCCTTAATTGCCTCACGGAATTGACTCATTCCAAATTCACAATTTTCTGCATTTCCCTGCAAATAAAGAAGTTGTTTAATCAAAAAAGTGAATAGTTATAAATTAATAATAATAATAATTCTGCTGTGAATCATAATCAAAGTGACGCATAGTATAAGGCAATAAGATGAACAAATTAAAGGAATTCGCCATCTCATACGAGAGCATAAAATGTTTTAGGAATGAAATAAATATGCCCATTTTCGTAGAATATAAAAGAAACTGAATTATTCGCTTCTAGAGTTTTGGACAAACCAACTCGTTAAAAAGCTACCAACCAATTATTTCTGCGTTTTGAAGTCACAATATGTAAAGGAACAAAAGTTGCACTATTTGGTTGTGTCTGCTCGGAAGCTCCCACCAAACAAACCGTCATTGAAAAGGCCCTGAATAATAGGGCCTTTCCATTGATGGAGCGCTCACTCGCTTCGTCAGCTTTATGAATAAAATATCGGCGAGCATTTGAAACTGCGGCGATGCTGCCCTGTCTATCTCTCAATCCATCTACCTGACAATGCGATCACACTGCGCTGATAATCGCGACTTTACAAAATTAAATATGTTTCCAACTCGCTTTTGTATGCAAAAGTTAAGAAAATTTGCTAAAATTATTTACCACAAGCCCTTTTCTATAATTCTTTTTTTTCTAGTTGAGCTTTAATTAGTCAGACACGTGGAAGATTTTTGCTCCGCTGTTTTTGGAATAAAAGGAAATGCGATATCGGCAGGGGCGGCGCAAACCTGCCCTTTGTTTAAGAGGGTGAGATGAGAACAGTTAACCCTGGACGATCTTTGAAGGAAATTTAAGTCCTACCAATTCATACAAATTTAAAGCCAATTATAATATTTAATAAGAACTGACAACATTGTAAATGTCTTAGATTTTCTTACTGATTTTTATATCCATCGCTGGGGAAGAGCACCTTTTTCAGAGGCCTGCCCGGTGAATTTAATTTAATGCATTCATACAAGTCTGTTGCAAATCAAAGGAGCTGTGGTGGTTTGTAAAATTGAACGAGAGAGCCCTTTGTGCGATTGCATGTATGGAGATAATCACCGTTGTGGTGGGTTGCCTGCGCCGGCGGTCTGTCGGCTTATCGCCTTAGTCCCTGCAGCAATTATCTCTCCTTTCGACTCGCATTTGTACCAACGAATACAAATACTAAACATGCACTCATGGATACACTTTGTTACTTTTGCACTGCTTTTCTATGTGACAAATGCATTCCCCTGTTTTCCAGAGTTTGATTGAATTTGTATTTAATGAAATTTGAATATGCCATCTTCAATAGAAAGTTTTGCTTGGACTTGAATTGATTGACGTGGTAAATTATTAACTGTTTTTATAATATAAAATGTATTTAGAATACAGTAGACCAAAGGCTTTGAAAACAATTTTTGGAATGTAAACATCTGTCTGAAGATTGACAAGCGACCGAACTGTTTAGTTAGAGTGATCTTTTTATCTTTCTGTTCAATCAATTTGCTTCTCACAGTAATGTGATTTTGATTTTAAAATGCAAATAACCCACATAAACATAGTTGTAGTTGTGGTTAAAATATATTTCAATAATTTCTAACAATTTTATCCAAGAATTAGAGTATTTGATTAAAAGTTAAATTTTGATCTTCCGGGAGAACCCCCAAGGCGAAAATTACATACCTCGAGTTGAGAAAATAAAATGCGGATAAAACAATGGAGGTGTTTTCAGGTATGAAGTGAGAAAAGTTTCGACGCCCTACAGCATTCGTCTGGCCGGATTGGGTGTTTTGGCCGCACGGCAATGCATAATAATATTTTGGCTGCTGGCCGAATATATGATTACACAAAATATACGTATTGTTGCGCGGAGTAATGGCAGGGTGAGTGATGTGGTGTAATGGACGAGAGCACAAGGGTCTGCGCCCGTGAAACACACACATACACAGCAGTCGTGCAAAGTGCGAGTCACGCGAGGCTGATTGTAATTTATGGCGCACACTCGGCTGCATAACAATCGCTATCATGCAAATCAATCAGTCTTGCTTTGATCGCGGCGGGCGTCAAATTTCTTTCTATGAATCTTTTATAGAGTCAAATCTCAATCAACTATATTTTAAAGAAGAAATGAATTAAAAATATTAAGAATATCTATTTTTAATTTTTATTATAATTTCATTCCTCATTCTAGAAACAAAAATATTCAGTCCCTTTTGACTTTCATTTTTATCAAATTTTATTATAATGATGGAAGAGGTATTTTATTCGTCAAATCAATTTCTTTTTAATAAATTCAACACAGCACTCCATTCATCTGGGTGTATTTCAAAAGAAACCCACGGCGTTGGTGGTACATGATACGAAGCGTGTATAGCACGGGGGTGGTTTGTGAACTCGAGAATATAAAAGAGGGCGAATTGTGCGGCGGCGGCGGAGGCTGAAGCGAACTACCGGGAATTCAGGCACAAGATCATTGCCGGCAGAGAAAGGGTTGGTTCCTTTGTCTAACGCAAGCGTCACGTACGTGAAAGACCGACTGGCGGTGGGTGGTATCGCTTGGGCCACCGAGAAAAGGCAGACAAGGCATTATTGAGAGAGAGGCAGATAGCGAGCGAGCGCCGATGGATGGATAATGATCCGTGAGAAAAATGAGCGGCGCCAGAGAATTTGTGCGCGTCTCGTCGACCGCGTCATGATCTGCGATAGGCGTAAATTAAATTGTTAGGTCGTTCTTCCTTTCAGCTTGAACCAATATTAAAATTGAAGCATTGTTGAGCTTTTCATGCTCTAAATTATCATTTTCTTGACCTAGTAGGATATTTTTATTCAATTCGTTCATAATTATTCAAATTATTTCTTTATATTTCAACCCAGCTTTTGAAAGAAGAAAAAATTATTTTTTTGAGGAACATTATTATTTTATATATATATATATATATATATATATATATATATATATATATATATATATATATATATATATATATATATATATATATATATATATATATATGAATATTGATTAATTGTTAATTTTGTTGTTCTTTATTGGCCTTTTTTAGAGTTTAAACTTTTAGGATTTATTTTCACATCTTTCTATTTGTATTGCAAATGAAAATTAATATAGAACTGCTTAAGCTATGCAAATTTAAAATCCCTCTCCGCGGGGAAAATTACAGTATATAAAGTTGTCTTTCTTATTTGCTGAAATTCCGCCCGTTTTGAGCGCCACTTTTCTTTCTTAATGCTCGTCGTCGCGGTTTTAAAGTGCGCTACCATCCCTCTTGCGAGCTCGCCGCGCCCTTATCTATGCGTTACCACATTGTCAACAAAATTATTCCGCTGTAAATCCCGTTTCGGACTAATTTCCGAGGCCGCGCCGCGAATAACAACGAGCCGCTGGCAAAGACCTCGCTTGCGATTCTCGTCATGCACCACGAGTATAAATTTTGGGCCCGAGGAGAAAAAGTCTGAAAGAAAAAAGCACGGAGCTGCGCCGCGTACTTGATTGCAATTAAACCTCCTGACTGCTATGAAATATGCTTTATACCGCCGGCGGCCACAAAAAGCATCAAAAACTGACTATTTATGATTCATGATTTAGCAAAAATGAGTTGAAAATATCATTTAAGTCCTCTCCTGTAATGATTTTAATTATTGAATTAGAAAGAACAGAAAATTTAATGATTTGATAATTCATCTTTTCCCATGTGTCTGGTTGCCCAATAAGTTTTTTTTCTGACATTGATTTTGTCACTTTGGCTTAATTTTCAAAACAAGGTTTTTGTGGGAAAATTTGAACTGCTTTCAACACCTTCTGATTGCAGATTTTCCAATCAAGATTTATATTTCAGTAAAATTTATGTTTTTTTTTTTATTTAATTTAAAAAAAATGATAGAATACGCTCTTTAATTATGCACTTGGACAAAAATAATCTGTTTACATCAAATTTAATTCTGAATGTATTTCATAAAACTTATATCATCCCAGTTAAATTCTTTTGTTGCAATTAAAAGACTATTTCCCAGTCCAATATCTGGCAAACGTAATCTTTTCGCTCTCCACCCACCAGCCCATGTGATTTATTTGGTTCTCTTGTCCCATCGTCCCTAGGAAGAAGAAGCATTCGTCTCACTCTTTTGCAAAGGGTCACGCAGGTAAACAGTGGCAGATCAAACAGACTCTGCCGCTACTTCCTGGCCAGAAAAATTCATATTACCCATATATGAGAGTTTCTACTACGGGATCGATAGCGCTCTCGGCAAAAGAATGTCTCACTTTGTCACCGACAGCCGAATCGACTGCTTTTTGCACCGGAGAGATTGCCTTTCCGCGTCCTCTCTCTTCCTCCTAGCGAGCACTTTGCGTCCGTCCTATCTGCATGGAACGGCGCCTTAAGCGGCTTTTCCAAATAAAATACCAAGATTGACGAACCTGCACTTGTGAGCGCTAAGAGCTCCGGTGCTCATTGAACGCAATTTCATTTTCTTGGTTGCTATTCTAATTAAAAAATAAATTTTACAAGAAAAAATTGCGTTTCTAAAAATTGAACAATTAGGCCTCTTGTTCCCATCTTTTCAAAGTTCTTGAGAACTTCTTAATTTATGAGAAAAAAAATTCAAAAAAATATTATATAAATATGGAGATTAATGTAGTACAAATAATAATTAGGTTAGGGTTGTAAAATAGAAAATCCAGTCAGAGATTATCACTGGAAATCTTTTTAAATTTTTTTCTTTCAATCTAACAATCTATATATTATTCAAGGAATTTTTGTGGTAGGAAGAATTTAATATTTTTTGTATTAATCCAGTCAAAGGCAATCAAATTTGAGTGAGTCTTATAAATTTTCATAACTTCAAAATTTAATGTTACTAGATTATTTTTGATTATTTTATAGTTTCATTCATTATTTGGACTTCGTAATTAGTAATTTGTAGTATTGGAATTTAATTGGGCTTTTAAAGAAGACTCATTACATGTCCCTGGCAGTGTTACACAAATTCTTTGGGCGCTGATTTTGAGTCCGACTGTGTAAAAGCTCATTCGACTTGCGTTGAAAGACTTTGTCTGCCAAGTTAAAAAGGAAGCGTCCGCATTGCACACGATATACATACATCGTTCTTGTACATACCCGACCAACTTGGGAACATCGCCTGAATACATTCCCTAGCAGGGAAATATAGCACAACGCTGTAGCACAGAATGACTGCGTACGCCTTAATGCCCTGATTTACATAATTATCAGGCCAAAGTGCGCTGCAAAGATAAGTCATTGTTCTAAAGATTTTTATCAGTTTTATCTCCAAAAACTTTACATCTGCTGTACACTAACAAATTAAAAATAAATATGTTGAAGTTTGCAAAAATAACAAATAAAAATGAAGAAGTGCTTCTTTCGGCTAGTTTATAAATCAAACTAGGGCTCATAATTTTTGTCATGGAAATCCATGCAATTAAAATAATTTAGTATATCCGACATATTTAATTTATTTTATAATTTTTATTGATTACTTTGCGTATTTATTCCATGATAGAATCTAAAAAAAGTTCTCATAAATTGTATTTACTATAATTGAAATCAATATTATGTGTTCCACCTTTTTCCCAGTTGTATTTAAAAAAAAATTAAAAAAAAACATGAACACAAATATTTTTACATGATTTATGTGGAGAAAATTTTGCTAGCAAAAACCCTGCGCCCTTATCGGCATAATGTTGTCTTAATATTATCAAATTTTAATTAAATCTGCCACAGTGAGCGTTTGTTGTCTCAATTTGTTGATAGCGGAACTAAAAGGCCACAATGTTCCTAACCATTTTTAATTATTTTTCAAACTCATTTTTGCACCAGTTCGTCATCCTCACCATTTTTTTTGACTTGTTTTGTTGGCCTGCTTTAATTTTTCCCACTTTGATTTCCAATTTTGACAGGTTCGTGGGGTGAGGAAAGCGACTGTTCAACTCCTCTGTATCAACTCCGCACTTGTATAAGAGGTACCCGTCGAATGCACCACCAAAAATATTGCACAATTTGTATTATAATTTTTGCATTTCGACTATCTCTTCACTTTTGTACAAAATCCCCCAGTCCTCCTGTAAATACCAGTTTGTCATGAAAATCCACGTCGTTTGTCTGACACCAAATTTGGGAGAGGAGAATGTAATTTTATTTTATTTTGGCCGATTGCTGGAAACGTTGATTATTTTTGTTTCCCTCAGGTTTTGTAAACTAATCAGGCAGCGTTTGAATTTTTAGGGCTTTTGCCAAAATAACATTTATTTTGCACTTGTTTCCAATTTGAAATTTGGGTAAGCGTGTGTACGTGCAGTGTAAATAATTTCGCTCGTTTGTGGGACGCGAGCAAACAAACCGACCCACATAAAAATTTCTCCGTTATTAAAATCCGCCCAGCACTAACAATATTTTGCGTTAATGTATCTGTGATGGAATTAGAAAAGCAAAGGTTGAATGCGCGGATTATTTTTGTCGTTCTTTCATGCATGAGGTTTTTCTAGAAATAATTATGTTTATTTAAATTAATCAGGATGCTCTTATATGGGTCGTCAACGCGATTTAATAATTTACTCATTGCGCCGCACCACACTTGTAGCATTCTAGCAACGAGAAAAAATAACACAATAATATGTCATCTTCGTGGCTCCTAAGGAAATTATTATATGTTTGAAATAACCATAAAAAAAATTTACACTGCTTGAAATTAGCAACTTTCTAGATATAATCATTTTTTAATCACAATGAAAATTAGCTTTTCACTCTTGCCATTAGTAATTCTGCGTTGACCGATTTTTCCAAAAGCCTTTTTCTGGCAGAAAGTTTTCCTTACAATATTTTTCCATTTCTAAATTTTCAATGCAGAGTTTAAACATGATTTGTATTATTTTATGATTTATGTTGATTGGTTGATGATTCGTTTTATATGAAATTGCTTCAGAAATAAAATAAATTAACTTTTGGTTTCTAACAATACATCATTAACTAATGATAACTATTTTTAATTTTTATCTCAACTTGTTCAATTAACACCGGTTATAAACAAATGTTAACTTCCCGTTCGTAAAAATTGTTAAAATTTCTAATTTAACAATTTTATATTTTGTTAAATTAACTTGATCGTTAGCTTTTGTTAACTAAAATAATTGCTTCCTAAATTTAACATTATAATAATTGTGCAGATTAATAAAATATCCTTTATGATATTGTTTCAGTAACCAAGTTGCGAGAGCACTGGGAGGAGACGAACGCTAAAGTCATGCAGCGGAAGGCGCAGCTGGACGCGTTGTTGGTGGACAGTCAGCGGTACGACTCGAAGAAACAGGAGGTCGAGTCGTGGCTGGCGCGCATGGAGAGTCGCATGGAACGCATGGGGCCTGTTGGACACACAGCCGACGTTCTTGAAGCGCAATTACGCGAGCAAAAGGTATGCAACCGGCGTCGCGTATGAATTCAAACTGTTGCATAAGTCACCATTTTGCAGGGGAAATTTTTCGGTCTGGATACTTCTTGATAATTATTCTTTCGTTAAATTGTTCGAAGAGCGAAGAGCGGAGATATGAACTAATTTTTTAGATGGAAACTTTAAATTTCGGGAATTTGTAAATATGTAAGAAACAGATGAGAAAACCTTATAAGGCTAATTTGAAAGTTTATTAAATTGTTACTTTTGATGTGCTAAACTTGACAATAGTGAAAATTATCTATTTAGGTACTGAAATATTTTGTCTGTAGATTCATTCTAACTCAAATTTAGATATAAAAAATGGCACAATTTTTTTAACATGTCAAACGAATCTATCTCGATGTGTTATTAATTTTACCGAAATTCTTAAAATTACTAATCTGACTTTTTGCTAAAATAAAAATGCATAGAAATCTTATTGATTTATTTTCAATTTATTGTATTTCAGTCATTCCACGCTGAGCTTCACCAGTACAAACACCACATAGAACTCTTCCAACAACTGACTCAACGCCTAATTGCTGTCTATCAGCAGGATGACACCACTAAAGTCAAGAAAATGACGGAGCAAGTCAACCAACGATACGCCAAATTGAACACCAGGTATAAATTAAAATTACAGATTAATTATTTTTATCAATTATTCTTCACAGGCCAAAATTATGGTATTATACTTTTAAATAACAATATATAGTATGAATATGAATTAATATTAATTTTTTTTCTAGCATTGTGAACCGAGGAAAGAGTTTGAATTCGGCAATGAACTCCCTGCAGAACTTTGACCGCTCTCTCGACAAATTCCACGCTTGGCTCTCAGAGGCGGAATCTTCCCTGGAAAGTGTAGAGTTGGAGGCAGACCGCCTTGGTGGCCGCAGAGACCCGGCCTCCGTCCGACTACCCCTTCAGCAGCTAAAGGTAAGATCAGAAACACCCTTTTTTTGTGCATGCAAAATGTGACAGAATTCTCGCTGGTATTTGAACGTGGCGCTCGAAAGCAGACCGAGTGAGTTGAGGCACCACACCAAAGATGGCACACGCGGTCGGATCGAATGTGCTGGGGGTGGCAGGGGTGACGAGGGTCTGGGAGGCGTAGTTCTCCATCCACTCGGTAGGGTGCTTATGTTGTGCAATGAATCGAATTACACGTTTAATTACATAATCCATAATAGCCCCTGCTCAAAAATAAATTTTCAATTGAATCATGATTAAGTAAACTATTTTTATTAATTTTGTATTGAAACAATTAAAAATATTAGTGGATCAAGAAGTTGAATATTATAAATTAAATTTTTGGTTATATCATAATCTCTGCAGTTTCTGTCTATAAATAGAGGCAACGCTTTAATTAAAGAGACTGATGAGTTTTAATTAGAGATATTGAACGCTTTTGATGGCGCTTGTGGGGCATTATTGAAAGACACACTGGAGAAATTTAATTAGCCCCGACGGCGTGTATCGCAGCCCGCGCTATTGTAATCCTCTTTGGACCGTATATTATATAAAATAATACTCTATCGATTGCCGGAGACGCGGCTACTCATTCTGCGGATTCTTCTGCAAAGAATTTCCAAGTTTGGGACGAGCAGAATAGAATGTGATCCAAATTCCTTAAGAACGGGATAACTTTGATATTAAGTTTCAATCACTAATGTAGTACAAATTTTTCACTAACTACTTGTGGCTTGAAATTATGATAAAAATGAATCGATCACAAATTAACCGAGTTAGCTAAAGTTGAAGCGGTGCCAACGTGCCAATTTTTCGGCGCGCTGGTGACAATTCTGACGGGCCTCTATTAATCCAATGATTGATCTGCTCGAGTTTTTCCCCACTAATGCTAGAGTGCATTTGCACGGCAGTGGGACGGAATGGCGCTCATCTGCCTGTGGAGGAATGTCGTGCCGATGACATATTGCTCCCCTCGGTCCCATCGGCGGCGCCAAGACCCTGCGGAATTACTACTTTATGTGGCCCGCCCGTTTGCGCCGCTAGAATCCGATCTCACTTTTTATCGGACGCTTTAATTAATGCAAATGACCCGGTGACCCAGGCAGTGAGTGACGGTCGGGAGCGGAAGACGCAAGGAATTTATTTACCCCAAAGTTTAATTTGCGCCCATAGCCCTTTCGCATTATACACGTATATGTAAGTTGGCGAGCGTATTCAAGCGCTGCGGCTATTAATTATTGCTCGCAGTTTACGCTCAATGGACGTTGCCGACGGCCGTCATAGTGAGAGGGTCTTTGCAGAAAGGGAAGACGCTGCGCTTAATGAAGATACAGCTCGGGGTACTACCGAATTGCTCAGAAGTTAGACGGTTTGCTTTGGCATCAAGATAGAGGGTGGCGAAGGATGTGCCGCTCAAATGGAAGGCAAATACAACAGCGTCATCAGCCAGGGGCTCATTTTTTAATTATAGAAACTCAACTTTGCTGTCGGAATTTTTTTATGAAAGATTCTTCCACTTTTTTTTCAAAACAATTTCATTTGTTTGTAGTGCTCAATTGATGATTTAATTATAAATTGTTTTAATTTCTTTTTAAGTTTATGATTTTCAATTATTCATGCTAACGATATCCACTATGAAAAAAAGTTACTTAAAAGATCCGTAAGATTATTGTAGATTTTGCAGTGGAGATAATAAGTACTTCATTTTGCCTTGACATGATTTGATGATTTTTTTTAATCAATATTTGTTATTGCATCAATTTCGAGAAAACCTTTTCTGAAAATTCCCTTAATGAAAAATGATGCTAACTTTCAAAAACTTAATTTTCACTATGAATTCATTACACGAAACCTCTTCACTAAAAAAAAAAAAAACTACCAAATTAACAACTTTCTCTTTTCAATTTACAAACCAATTCTAATCTAAACAAACATTGTCATCATCAATTCCGGTCATTTTTTGCAAAAGCCCCTTGTTAATTTTTACAATTATTGCAATTTCTCCTCCTTTTGTAATCTAATTTCAAAACAGAACAAAGCCCCATTAGAGTGTGTTGGCGAAATTGGAATCGTCACGCTATAAAAAGATTCTCCGCCGTTGTTGGAGGGAATCAAGTGGAAAAGCACAGCTGCGATTTTCCACCAGCAACCCTTCTTTCTTTTATTCTTCCGCCTAATTTTAATTCAGGCGGCATCCCGTCTCAGGCCCATTCAATACACTTAGGTTGTTGCACACGCCCGTCCAACCAACCGTCCGCTCACCTTCTCATGTTTGAGCAAACGGCCGAGGGCCCACTTTGCTTGATGTTATTGATCCCGAGCGCGCCTTTACAGCCCATATATATCGCCCGCCGGAGAGACAAACTTAAGTCCGCTTCCTTAAGTGACACAATGCATCAACTTTCTCTCATATTTGCGCGCCTCGCTATATTTGTTTGACACATGGGACCGGCACGCGCCGCCCACAGGACAGGACGAGATGAATTTTTCAAAATCCGACCCACTTCGTCCGAATGAGATTTTGCCAACATCACCTTTTTTTTACTTTTTTTTGTTGAAAGAATTGCACTTTCTTGATGTGATTCCGAATGTGTGCAATAAAGTAAAATAAAGAGGAATCAGTGTTGCGTGATAATTTGTTAGGATTGGGCTGCAGTGGAAAAGAAGTCGAACGTCGGCTTCTTCCTCTAAAGGCAAGGTTTATTTTTAAGTGATTCATGGCGGTGAGGGTGGATTTGCTTGCGGTTCACTTTTCTGGCAGCACGCCGCTCTGCAAAATAATCCCGGCTGCAAATAAATATTTATCAAATCTCCAACGGCGGAAGAAAAAAAATAGTGAAAAAAATCGCTCAGGTGCAGGCATTTCAAATTTTAAGTGCCTTTGCTCTGCGAGACGTGGTGCACATGAATATTGAACGTATTCACGCGTTGTCAGTAAAAAATAAATTGAAAAAGTCATACATTTTCATTGTCCCTCTTGAATAATTTTATTTTTATGGTAGAGTGTTTTTATTTAGTACTCAAATGTTGATGAAAATTGACTGTTTCAGTGAAATTGTTTATGCCACTGGATTCTGAATGAAGTGACATAAAAAAATGGAAGGGTTTGGTCTCTTTTCTGTCAAATTAATATTAATATATTTTTTCTCTCGATACTTTTTAACATTTTTTAGCATCTTGAGGTATAAAATAAGAACATATATAAATCATACTAAATTATTTCAAACAAAAAGCATTTACATAATTTCCAATCCTTGCCAAAGAAGATTTGGTTTAATAAAACCAGAAGCTTCATTCCACTTTAGCAATTACTTTGAGGATGCTAAATCAATAAAACTTATTTTAAGAGCGGGTGCGATTCGAAAGGAGCTCAAAATCATTCCATTAAATGAATCTCTTTGCTATCGCGCAAGGGCAAATCATAATTATCGCAGAAAGGGTAAGTTGGCAAAAGTTGAACTTTAATTGCCCCTTAAATAGAAGGCCTTAGACGATTCGAGGGTGCTCGTCGGCGAGAGCAATAAAATTTGGTAATTGCCGCGCACAACACACCAACCAACTCCAATAAAACTTACTTTTCAACCGTTTAATAACGCAGCAGTCACATCGGTCCTGCTTTGTTATTACAGACCGCCGAATTCGCCTCCGCTCTCTCATTATTAAGACGGCTCATGATTGGCTGGTCTGATCGGCCGGTGAAAGCGTGCCACGTCCCCAAAATATTTCGGCAAAATTTCAGAACAACAGAAGGAAAATAATAAATTTAACAACATCTCTTTGATTAAAATTTTTGTCTTTAATAAAATCAGCTTCTAAAAACAAAGTCTTGTTCATGAATGTGGCTCTCGCTTAAGTTTCCTTGTTGGCTTCAAAGAAAAGTCAGCAGACACGCGCGGACAAAAAGGGGGAAAGAGAAACATACAAAGAGCTAGCCGTGAAGGATCCAGGCGAGAAAGAAATGCAAAATTAAAAATTGCCAGCGCGATATTCATAAAGTAAATACGATACTGCGCAAAACTCTGGCCTGTATTTACCAGGAGAAAATCTCGCCGCGCCCGAGCAGTAAAAGAAAAGATTTCCATAAAGCAGTGTACAAAAACTTTTTTACAGCACGCTCGCAAAAATAGAGGAGACGTCCTGCAAGAAAGGCGCTCGATAGGCGCGCGTGAATATTTAAAAAGCGAAGGCGTGCAGCGCAGACTTGGCGGGCGTAGTCGTGATGTTTGCATTTGGTAATGAAAACAAGAGCACCCTGCATTTTAATTTTCCACTTTCCTGAATTCCGAACGAAGTGTAAGGTAGACCGGCGCAAATTAAAAATCGCGACACGCTCGCCGCTGTTCCGTCTTGCATGTAATTGCGTGAGATTTTTTTCCATTCCCTCTTGCGGCAAACGAGACGGGCGAGATTGGCCGCAATTTGCAGTGCGAGTCGATAATTGTTGTCCCAGCTTGTCTTCCTTTAATTTCTTATCCGAAACAATTTTCTCCACGGCCGAAAAGAGAAAAAGCAGCCGTTCCCGCTCGCACGTGAAGATAAAAAAAAAAGGAAAAATCGGCTGAAAGGACACGCAGGGCGACAGTTTCGGATGAAAAATCTTTCATGCTTCCGGAGAGAGAAAGACTTAAATCCGAAAGAGACGGACGCATTTTCGCCTCGCTTCTGGTCGAGAAACGTTAAAAAGAACGCATTAGGCTTTTCCAACCTTGGACATGACGTGTCTCACAGAAAGCGTTTGAATCAATTAAGAAGGTATTCACACGAAAAGTAAAATTATGCCCATTGTACAAACGAAACAATTTATTTCAGAAACTGAAAAAAATTTACTGAAATATTTCCCAAATTTTTAAATCAAGATACTTATTGAATTTATTTTTCCTACTTGATTGGGTTCATGTGGACTTGGTTTGGGGAAATTTTCATCAATTTTATCTGGGCAAATTATTTTAGAAAATTCCCATAAGAAA